CGCCCGACTGAACCGCGCCCGCCGCTCTGCGCTGCCTACCGGGTCCCGGCCGCGAGCGCCGTAGCTTCCTATTGGAGGGAGTCCCTTGCGTCATCCCACACGCTGCAACTCTATTGGTCCACGCGCCGCGGAGCCCAGACGGGCGGCTCCACGCTGCCTTTCCCCATTGGCTGGTGGTATCGCCCGCCCACGGCCCTAGACAGTTGTCGACCGCTGATTGAGCCAGGGCGGCCGGCCAGAAGCGTCGGCGGAGGTGGTGGAAGCTGCCGGGGCCGCCATCTTTGGTAGGGGCACGGGGTGGGTAGAGGTGGCGCGCTAAGGGGCTGAGGTGAGGTGCGGTCCCCGCCCCGCGCCTGCTGAATTGTCTCGCGTATCTCCTGTTCTGCGCCACACGCTGGCCGAAATAGCTTTCCGGGGCGCCAACCTAGGGCTAAGGTCAGGGTTTCTGAAGTCGGCCACAGCCCAACGGCGTTGGCAGGGAACGTAGCTGGTCTCAGGCAAGTCTCGGAGAAAGTTTTTTCTCCCTTTCCCGGTTTTAACGATCACGTGAGCTGGGCAAACCAGTCCCTGGGGAGCGTCTGCGGAGGCTCAGGCGCCGGCGACGCGTAACCAAATTTCCCCATTGGCTCAGCCGCCCACCGGCTTTACCCCCCCTCCCACCCCGTTACCCCCGCCTGCCTGGCATCGGCTGACAGCTGTGCGGCTGGCACGCTCGTTGGGAGGATCCCCCATGGGAAGGAGTTAATCTCGGGGCTGCCGTCCTGGACCTCAGGGAAGCACCGGGCCAGGGGGGTGGAACCACCTCGCTTCAGAGGGGAGGTGAAGGGCTTGGACGGTTGCCTCTCACTCCTGCGAGAGCGCACATTTCCTCACAGACTGAGGACGCCTGGCCGCGATCCTGGAAGGCGCCTCCCGTTTCCCAGCTGAGCGTTCGGGGCCCCCGACTGCGGGCTCAGGGTCAGCGGGCGAGCGTCGGTCTCCTCGTTGACTGCCCGGTCAAGTAGGCGGTGCCTCGTCCTGAAGGCAGGGCGTGGGAAGTGCCATTCAGTGCAGTCAGTGGTTCGATATCAGTTATTCATCTTTAATGCACATCACAGCAGTCAAGGAGTGGGGGAAGGGGGTAACCAAGTGGCAGATATTTACATCTAAAATTCACATTACTGGTTGGATTTAGAACATGCTACCACAATATATACAGTGAAATACCTCTTGGGACACTGGTACAAATTTTTTTCTTTCAACTTTGCTTTCTGGTACAGGTAAGATCATTTTTAAATCAACTTTTTTAAAACATAAATACACAAAAGAAATGGTTAGAAGTGTTCTAATTTTAAATAAGCACAGAATGCTGGAGGTTAAAAACACATTTATAGGGCGGAATACCAATTGAACATCACGCTCTATACATTTTTTGCTCAAATTCCTGTACAAATACACAGCATTCAAATAGGTATTTACAAAGAAGCTTGAAAGAATGAAAAACAGTATTTCACAATCTATTCAGAGGGTTCTCATCTATGGCCTTCCACTTCCCCTCAGACTGGCTGATTCTCCAATAAAAGGGGTTTGGAATATGTCCTTTTCATCCATTTGGGGAATATAGAGAGAACACACAAACCTGCCTCACCTTGCATAAAAGCAAGGACAAAAACCCCACACTCCCCTTCCTACCCTCCCGTGACACCAAGTGGAGAAGGTAGATGTGTTTATGTGATGACTGCCTTTACTGAGATTGAGGTTTAATAAAAGTGCCTTAAATCTCCACATGCCCTCCTATCTAAGAATCAGATCCAAAGCTAGTCCCCACCCTTCCCACCCCCCAAGCTTCATGAAGACCAGAACAGTCCCCGCCTGCCCTCCAAGACTGGGAGCTGCCAAGAGTGACCTGCCCCAGCTGCTCTGGGGTACTGTGATCCTCCATCCTTCCTAACAGATTACTTGCTGGCATTCCTGTTCACAAGCTGGCATTTGTTACTAAGAGGTAAAACACCCTGACCATGGCCTTTTCTGTTTGGAAAAGGGGACTGTGGGGAAGTGAGGGAGGGCCAGGGCTAGCCATGAAGGGTGGACAAGCCAGCAGAAGAGGAACTAGGAGAACACACCAGCTCAACGAGGAGAAGGCAGCCTGTGACCGTCAACATTATGAGCTCAAGGAAATGAAAGAAACAAATTTTGTAGACAATTTTTTTAAGTAACTTAGAAGCACCCTGGTAAAATACTATTACCACCCCACCCTATCCTCCCAAATGATAAATTAAGAGGAAAATTAGTGCCCTGACCTGAAATAGTTTCCTACAAAGACACCACTGCACTCTGCCCAACAGACTAGGGAGGCTGGAGAAACTGCCCTCCTGCCTGCCCTGAACCCTGAGTGGTGATCCCCACAGGCCTGGAGGAGGGGAGCGGTGAGGGGGCCCTGCACATGCCCACTTGGGAGAGGATAATTCATCCTGTGTGGATGTTTCCAAAACAAGAAGCTCCCTCACACCCTTTTTACCTGGGAGTTTGCCGAACCTGACCACATGTCCTCAGGGCTTGGGAACCTGGCTGGGCAGCCAGCCCCACTGCTAGGAGGTAGTGCTGAAAATCCCTGATTCAGGAGCTGGATGACAGATATTCTGGCCACTTCTGAAAGCTCAGAGGATTTCCGGCCCCTGCAGTACCCCAGCCTCACTCTTATACCAGCTCACCGTTCAACAACATGGCCTCCTGGGCGGTGGGGAGGAAGGTGGCTAGGGCAGGCCCTCTGGCTCCACACCTCACTTAAGCCCCAGGAAGTGGGTAACCTCTGCAGATCCAAGGTGGCTCCTGCAGGGCATGAGGTGTTTGAGAGTGGAAGAAGCAAATGGTCAGAAATAAAAATGACGGAGAGAAAATTCCAAGGTAGATTAGGACTAGACAGTAGTCGCCCATGGAAGCCTGACAATGTGCTCTGGGTATACAGTTCGGCCAGGTCACGTGCCTGAGCTGGCAGGTTGGCCCAGCCAGCCCTTCATTTGCACACTCCTGGATGGAAGAGTGAGCAGGTGGGTAGGGGTAGGCATTTGTGCAAAAATGGCTGAAGCCCCCTTGTCCACCTGTGACATGTAGTCCATGCGTGGTTCTTGCAATCCCTGAATACAACCATGAGCTCTGTCCACACAGCAAAGGAAGAGGTCCTTAGTGCAATTTCATTCTTCTGTGCATCTCTATCCTGGAGGGAGGGCCTAGGCGCCTACCCCAGGGGCCTGCAAAGCTGCAAAGCAATTCTGTCTGTGCAATATCTCCATATAGCTCCATGTGGTCTGGAACTGCAGGAGAAAGAAAGCATCTACTGCACAAAGGAAAACCCATAGAATGGAAATGTAGAAAATGAAATAAAAAGAGAAGCCACAACCCTTCATGCTGCTGCAGCCTCTGTACATGGCAATACACGAGTTCACGGCAGTAGAATGTAGACTTGGGGTGATTTCTCTCCTGAGTGCCAGGCCTCTCTGGCTCCCTGGGGGTGGGGGATTTGCTTTTCAGACCTGGGATAGCTGGGTAAGCTGTTCACTGAGGGCTGGATCTCAGCCGCCTCCCTGTCCCTCCCTCACTGTTCCCCTCTGCCGTGCTCCCAGGCCATGCGGGCCTGTTCTTCTTTAATGCTCCCAGGGGGCAGTGAGGACTTGCGATGCAGGCCCCGAGGCCTATCAGCCTCTTCTCGAAGCAGCACACCCTCATCGTGCTCCAGGGCTGGCAGGCGGGGGTGGTAGGGCTTGGGAGGCAGCGCAGGCGGGTCCATGGGGTCCTGAGGGATGACACATCCTGGGGCTGAGTGGCTTCGGCATGGTTGGGCCTTGATGGAGTCCAGGACGGCGGACTCAGAGAGACTGTAGTGGACAGGGAGGTAGGGCGGCTCAAGATCTTCATCAGCATTCCAGGCCTGACTTGGCATAGAATCCATGGTGTCGGTTCGAGGTGGGGCCTCTGAGGAGTGCCCAAAGTTACTCTCACTCAAGGAAGACACACCGCTGCTGGCACTGCCGGACAGCGTAGAATTGCTGCCGTCCAGGCCTGACTGGGGACTTGTGGGGGAGGCCGGGATAGGGTGAAGAGGAGACTGCAAAAGAAAGGGTGGGCATATTGGAATCCTTCTCCCCAGAGGCTGACTGGCCCTCCATGTGAAGAGAAGACCATGAGTCTGTTCAGTAATGAACTTTAAACAACCCTCATCAGCATCACATTTCCTGTTTCTTTGGGGGAAACCCCCTAGTTCCCTCCTGGTCCGGCAAAGTAACCTGCTTTCTATGAGCTACAAGATGGCCCTGCCCTGGCTGCTGGGCATTTGTGCCTCTGAGGCCAGGTCCCAGGCTGTGGGCTGTGGCTCTGGGGTACAGACAGAGGGCCTAGCTCATCAGGCCACTTGGGGAGCTGAAAGAACCTACTGGTGATGGCCCAGATGAATGCGTTCTGTTGCTAAAACATGAGTTTTTTCCAGTTTGCAGAAAAATTAATGGGTTTTTCATAAAGCGTTGTGCCGGATACTTTATTTTAACTGAACTCTAGTTTAAAACATGCTCTATGATCCACCACAGGAGTATTTCGTTTCCCCTTGAACTGTGTGGTATTCTGATACATTGTGGTGTTGGCAGAGAACACCTTACCCCTTACCTCACCTCACCTCTTAAAAGTTTTGGATACTCTGTGTTGCTGTCTCTAGGATTCTGACTGCCCTGACCCCCTCTGCATTTGTTGGAGGATACACTGGTCATCTGCAGTCTGGGTATGACCTGCCACCCAGCTTCTGCCAAGATGGGCTCTCAGGACAGAAAGGCAGGGGACAACTTGAGTCCTCTCTATAGGCCTTATGCGTGATTCTCGAGCAGAGACGACTCATCTTACAGCCTTGCAGGGCTGTCACTTCAGTACATTACCTT